TAGTATTTCTGAAAGTGACAGTAGTCATGAAACATGGTCAGGTATTGGCAATTTGTTTAGAATTCTGCAAATTATAAAGCAAAGGGAACCTAGCTTCTGCATTCCCGGTGACTTTTATTCTTCATGGTCAAGAATGCTTTTCAGCCTTTCAAGAACAATTCCACATATTTATCACTTTTACAAGCAATAGATACTAATTCATTTGTATAAAGATAAGGGCTGCAATTTTTTCTTCTTTTTTTGGATAATGGGACATAATCTTAAAAAAAGAAAAAAAACAACACTGGGAAATACTGGCTTAAGGAGTTGCTAGTGGGATGCAAGACACTAATTTTCTCAGTAATAGTGATTTAAATTCAGGTGAACAGGAAGAGATAATTTCTTGGCCTTTCCTGACTATTTCGTGGCCTACATTAAATGATTTTAAGATCTCTGTTTAGCTCCCATATTAGAAAAACAGGCACTGCTGTAGTTAGTCATGGAGGACTCAAGTACTTAGAAGCCTAAATGATATGCTTACCCTTAAATTGTTCAGGATATTTGACAGTATCAAATCATATTGGACAGGCAATTTGAGGGACTATTTGCAGCATCCATTTACTGAATAATTATAAAATTTCTGTCCCTGAAGCTGTCAAAATAACTCACATAGAAGTGTAAAAAAAGCAGAACAAAAATAATTTACTTCCTCTTGGGGAAGCAGCTTAAAACATTCTCAAGCATCTTAATAAATTAACTATAGACAACTATGACACGACTAATTTTCAATGAAAGACTTTCTGCTCTAAAAAAACCACTAGGATCTTTTCCTAATTTCCAAAAGCACTCTCCCAGCATGTTGTTCAAGATTATGCCTCTTAATTACCACGTATTCATTTTTCATTTCCTTTTTGCTTTTCACAGTAATGAGGCTTACATTTCCTGTAAAGTAAGTTTTTCAAACTTTGAGGTGGTATGTTTATATCTTACTTTTTGCATTGGTTGCTTTATCTGCTGATTCAAAGGGAAAAAAACACCTGATTTAAAAAAAAAAGTATTTACAGAACTTACAGCTCCCTGTACTGTAGTGAAGTACAGAACTTCTAGCAAATTCTGGCAATATCTTAAAAAGTAACTGAGGAAGTAACTTTCAAATCTTCTAGGGAATAGCTAACTACCTAGATCTGGAAATGTGCTGTGCTACAGCTGACCTGCAGTCCAGAGGACAGGTAGTGGCTGGAAAAAATAGAAAAGAAAAAAAACATTAGTAAGATAGGCATAAAAGAGGCAATATTAATCTATTTACCTGCTGTAAATGTCATTGCCTTGGAACCAAGACAGTCTTTCCCTGATTTCATCTCCATTGGTTGTACATATATTTGTTGTCTGAAATTGAAGAGGCATGGTGTTTGGGGGTTTGTTTTTTTTGCTCCTTTATTCTGGTGAGATGACAGAAAAGTAGTCTGGGTTACTGTCAATGCCATGCCTGGCTAACCTTGAAAAGGGGAGACAAGGTGAGAAATCTTTGCAGCGCTGTTGTTGCACAGGAGCTTAAGGAGTGATAAACTGCTGTTTTACTGCAGTGTCAGTGGGCATCGTGACACAGGAAGAACTTCAGAGCAGAGTGCAGTCATATTGCAGAGATCATGTACTCTGTCCTCCGCAGGGGAAGCTGGTAGTTTTTCTGTCCTATAATTAGCCACTGCCAACGAAAGCACATTGCGTCACTGGAATTAGTCTCGTGGCATTCTCACCTTTGCCTTCCCAAATGAAGGAAGTGGCTTTGAGTGACAGCTAGTACATCAAGGAAGTAAAGTACTGATGGAACAAATACACCCTTAAGTTATCTGGTAAAGGGTATTTAGTCTTCACTGTTAGCAAAGATCAACGCAGTTTAAAAGGGAATGGTAAGTAGTCCCCTGCTGAAAATATATTGACATATATATAGCTTCTTTTCCCTGAAATTCTGATCATAAAGAGAAAGGCTTACAGGGTTTCAATAGTGGTTTTACTTAACATCTGTTTCTTTAGCAGCATGTACTTCCCAGATTATGTCAGCTTTGCCCTCTGTAGGTCCTTTAGCATAGCGGAGGATGTATCTGTTCTCCATCACTGCAGCTTCCTCCCAGAGGACAATCATTGCAACAAACCAGGCAGAACCTGCCACAAATGAGTAACATATCTGGTCTTTTGTGAACATACTAGTGAATCCTAGGAACACTTTTTCTGATTTGTGTAAAGCTGTTGTGAATTAGCAACTCCCTGGAAGACAATAAATTTCCAAAACTGTGCAAGTCTGTATATGGCCAGCAATTAGATCTGTCTGGATCCTCATGAGTGGTACATAACGTGGATGGAAAGATTGAATGATTCACGTAATGGGTCAAAATTTAAAACTCCTTGCAACTTTCTATTTACTGTGTACTTTCTTGTGCATCATGAGTATTACTTGACTGCTGTTACTTACAACAGTTTCATGTCATACAGCTTGTTACTTTCTATGCTCTAAATAAAGGCAGTTGAAATCAGTGACTTAGTGGGTATTTGTAACTTCATCTTGTGCTATTTCTGCAAATGTTATAGTAGATGTAGAAACCACTACTGTGGACTGGTATTAACCATTGCATTAAAAGACAGTTCCAGCTTGGAAAAAACGTACAATGTAAGTAGAAAGTAACTGTGGATATCTAGGAAGTTAGCACTGAATACACCTTTCTTGAGTTGGGGTTTCTTCAGCTTTGTTTCATACCCCACTCATGGGTAAGATTTCCTACTACTCAGCACTTGTAGTCAGAAGAAAAAAATTTAAATGATATACCTGTGTCTGAGAGATCAAAGCATGGTATTTTTCTTGAATAAATAAAAACAGTGTCTGTTGCTCTGTTTTGTTATGCACAAAGTTGCCATGTTGAAAATTGATCCAATTCTTAGAAATCCTGCAATTTTTTCTTTACATTCCAGTTTTCATTCTTTTCACAAATTAATCACCTACAATCTGCAACAAAATAAAAAGCATTCTAAACAACAGCAAATTTTAAAATCCAATAATACATGCTATATTAGTAGGACACTGCAGTTACTTAGAAAATTACAATAGCACCTGCTTTCAAAACATAGTAGTTACATTGTAAAATTCTTGGACATTAATTAGATCAGAGAGTAATATCATGCTGATTTAGTAGTAATTTTATAATATGAAAATTATGCTATCACAAAATTACCCTATTGATTCCATTAGAAATGTGATTTGTTTCCTTAAGTCATTTTTCTCTCAAATACTTTGCTCACCACAGAATTGTAGATCTTGTCAATAAACACCAGCAGAAACCACTTAAGGTGCCAGGTCTCAGAGTCAAGTGAAAGCATGATAATCATCTCAGCTTTCTTCTACAGGCAATTAAGCTTCTGGATCTAAAAATAATAAATGAAAACCTAACCTGCATGCAATTGCAACTTGCTTGCAAAGCTAATAAACATAAAATGCAGGAAAGTAACCTTACATATATGGTCTTATGGTTTACCTTTTTAAGCCAGGCACCTCATTTTTTGAAATTCAATTATTTAATATTTGAGTGTTGATAATGCTGCGTAACTAAATGATGGAGACATCTGTGTTCTATGACATAGAATAAATTCTGCAAAACATTCTGCATCTGCACCATGAACTTTTCTGCCATTCTCATCAAAGCATGCATAGTAGCAAGTTAATTGGGTGGGTTCTCCTTGGGCTGTGTTTTGGAAATTCAATGTAAAAGACCTAAGCTAGAACTAACTACATAGATCTCTTCACATGGGCTCCATGCTCCATCTTTCCTGGAGCACCCCAACACAAGGAGGACATAGAGCTGTTGGAGTGAGTCTAGAGGAGGGCCATGAAGATGGTCAGAGGGCTGGAGCACCTCTCCTATGGAGACAGACTGAGAGAGTTGGGGTTGTTCAACCTGGAGAGAAGGCTGCAGGGGGACCTTATAGCAGCCTTCTAGTACCTGAAGGGGATACAGGAAAGCTGTGAAGGGGCTTTTTACAACAGCTTGTAGTGAGAAGACAAGGGATAATGGCTTTAAACTGGAAGAGGGGAGATTTAGGTTAGACACTGGGAAGACATTATTTATTCTTTATGTGAGACACTGGCACAGGTTGCCCAGGGAAGCTGTGGAAGCCCCATCCCTGGCAGTGTTCAAGGCCAGGTTGGATGGGGCTTCGAGCGACCTGATGTAGTGGGAGGTGTCCCTGCCCATGGCAGTGGTGTTGGAACTAGATGATCTTTAAAGTCTCTTCCAACTCAAACCATTCTATGGTTCTATAATCTTACCTGTAATGTTCTTGCTAAATGCAAAAAATCCAGTGATAGAGGATACCTACTGCTGAAAGTAATAATAGTATTTCAGTGTTGGTGACCTAGATTCTGTTCAAGTCTCTATCCTTGGGATTTTTGTGCTCTGATTTTTACTACAGTGACTTCTATATATCCTACCCTATACCAGAGTTCCAGTGGCCAAATTCAGCATGAAACACAGATACAGAGGAAATGTCTACTTTTTAGCAGTTCACAAACTGATGCTAAATATGCAAGAATGAATTGTTGCATATTATTCTTACCCAAAAACTAGAAAATATCCAAGAACCTGACATTACTGAGATTTGAGGCAAGGTTGAAAAGGATGCTGATAAACTGTGTAACAGAAGGAAGATGTTGCACCTGCCTGGTAAACTTCCTAATGTTGACAGATTTTAACCTCTGAGCCTATTATTTAGTCCTTGAAGATGGACTTTTGTGCAAACCCTGGTTCTCTTCTGCAGGACTGAGCAAGCCCGCAGCTTGCATATTTCCCCTTATGTCCAACAGGAAGTCTGCAGCCAAGCTGGAGGGTGAGCACACATCTCCTGAGCTCCAGTTCAAACTGGATTTCTAAAGACCATCTTTTGCCTCCTTTTCAGTTGAATGAATCTCATTAGGGCTTCATTTTCTTTATAGTTTCTCCATAATCTATGACTTCAGCTTTTCATTTACAAAACCGCTCATGACTCACGTCAACTGGTACCTCTGCAAACAGGAGAGGTGCAGTGAGAACAGCTCCTCTCTGCAACATGTGCAGACAGTCCAGCAGTGTGTGCTGAGTGGAGCACTGATCAAAGGCAGCACAGTGGGGCTCCGGAGCACCAGCAAAACATCAGCTGTGCTCCCAGCATCACAGCTAGCATCCAGAGAAGGCTGGAAGAGCAGAAGGAAGCAAGTGGTGGGAAGGACAGAGGCTCTCGACTTCCGTGTGGAGTCGTTTGATTCAGAGCTGGAGGATAAACCTCATGTATCTTCAGCCTCATGTATTCTTCCCTCAGAAAGCTTCACAAACAAGGTTACAACGCGACATCTGATGTGAAATCTTTCCAGAATGATCAAGCATTTTGCTCTTTCATTATCTTGTCTAATAGCAGGAATTTGCCTACACAAGAAGGAATAATCTTAGGACATCAGACATAGTCATCACAAGGATAAACTTAGGTGAGGTAGGGAACTACCATACTCTGAGATCACAGGAATATTCTCACTAGCTAAAGATGGTTAATCGGGAAATATTAACGTAGGGTCACAGGCAGAAAAGCAACATTCAGGCCAGAATCACAAGCAAGATAGATTTGTTTGTTTTAAACCTGGTTTCCAGTATTTGTGGAGTTTTTTGCCTTAGTTCTTTATGCTGATTTTGAAATTTGGTTAAGATTGTCCTGATTTTATCATTAACGCAAACTAATGGAAGATCTAGAGCTGGGCTTGTATATCCCAGTCAGCCCAAGGCAAACACGACTGCCAAGCGGGTTCGGTCAAAGACAGACCAGTGGGTTCATCAGACGCACAAAATACCTATAAATTACCGTTTCATTACTTTGCTCAACCCTCTTGATTTAACCCAAAACCTTTGAATTACCAATTCTGGGCCGGTAAGGAAAACGCACAGTTGATACGGGCAGGTACGGTGTGGTTTCCGTACACCGAGGGAGGGGAGGGAACTGCGTTCCAGTCAAGATCACGTAAGAAAGGAGAAAGGCCTTAACGAGTGACTGTGCAGCTTTACCCCTCCGGAAGACCCTCGTGCCCTGTGCCACGCGCTGAGGGATTAACTCCCAGGAGCACAGCACCCGGGACCCAGAGGTGCCGGACTGATGACCGGGGGCCTGGCTGAGCTCTGTGCGCCGACCCCGACGGGCTGCAAACCCCCTCTCGGATCACCGGGCTGGTTTATGCGCCAGAATCAGCAGTCTCCTTGACATGGAATTAAATAACGCGCTTAGAAACGGAGCTGCTTCTGCACAAGCTGCCGCCAAGCGTGCGGCTGCCGGACACGATCTGCGACGTTAACCCGCCCAGCCCCAGAGGAGCTGCGGCAGCGCCGGGAAAACCCGGAGAAAATCCGCACGGAGAAAGGCGCCCGGCCTTCCGCTTCGGGACGTTTCACCCCGCGGGCACGAAACGCGCCCTCCCCGCCGCCGGGGTCACACACGCGCAGCCCGGGGTCACAGCCCACGCGTTACTACCCCGCACAGCCCGCACAGCCCCCCTCACCTTCCCGCCGCCCGCGCGCCGCCTCGCGGCAGCAGGACCACCCCCC